TTTACAGACTTTTGGGTTTAAATATCAATCATTACTCGGAATGGAAGTATAGATCACGAATGATGTAGATATAAGAGAATCCTTCCAGAAATTTATATATAAACTGATAGCGAGGTTAGAGTGGTAAATGAACATTTTAGAAGAACATCTGAACAAAGAGTAGTGAAAAAATACTAGGAGTGGTCAATGGACAGTTAAGGCAAGATTGATTAAAGAACATTTAAAGTGGTAAAAGAACATCTGTTGTTAGAGTGGTAAAAGAACATTTGTGGTCAGAATGGTGTAAAAACACCTGTGGTTAGAGTGGTAAAAGATCATCTGAGGTTAGCGTGGTAAAAGAACATATGTAGTCAGAGTGGTAAAAGAACATCTGTGGTTAGAGTGGTGTAAAACACCTGTGGTTTGAGTGGTAAAAGGTCATCTGAGGTTAGCGTGGTAAAAGACCATTTGAGGCTAGAATGGTGTAAAAACACCTGTGGTTTGAGTGGTAAAAGAACATATGTGGTCAGAGTAGTAAAAGAACATTCTGTGGTTAGAGTGATAAAAAAACATCTGTGGTTAGAGTGGTAAAAGAACATTTGTGGTCAGAATGGTGAAAGAACATCCGTGGTTAGAGTGGTAAAAGAACATCTGTGGTTAGAGTTGTAAAAGAACATCTGTCGTTGGCGTGGTAAAAGACCATTTGAGGCTAGAGTGGTGTAAAAACGCCTGTGGTTAGAGTGGTCAAAGAACATCTGTGGTTAGAGTGGTAAAAGAACATTTGTGGTCAGAATGGTGAAAGAACATCCGTGGTTAGAGTTGTAAAAGAACATCTGTCGTTGGCGTGGTAAAAGACCATTTGAGGCTAGAGTGGTGTAAAAACGCCTGTGGTTAGAATGGTCAAAGAACATCTGTGGTCAGAGTGGTAAAAGAACATTTGTGGTCAGAGTGGTAAAAGAACATCTGTGGTAAGAGTGGTAAAAGAACATCTGTGGTTAGAGTGGTAAAAGAACATCGGTGGTTAGGGTGGTAAAAGAACATTTGTGGTTAGAGTGGTGTAAAACACCTGTGGTTAGGGTGGTAAAAAACATTTGTGGTCAGAGTGGTAATAGAACATCTGTGGTTAGAGTGGTAAAAGAAAATCTGTGGTTAGAGTGGTAAAAGAAAATCTGTGGTTAGAGTGGTAAAAGAACATCTGTGGTTAGAGTGGTAAAAGATCATCTGTGGTTAGAGTGGTAAATGAACATTAGATTAATAGTATAGTAGAATAATTATGGATACACATGGATTGTGAACACTATTACTGATTATGTAAGCTAAAAATATTGCTTCTGAAACTAAGGTATGCTTGGTCGATAGTGAAGGTGCTCCTTTAACGAACCAATTCAGTTTAATCCTCAGTCCACACCCTCGAAGTATATCATGTAAGCATCTGGAAAGTAGTCATTTTTTTATATGATTTAATCAAAGTATCATCGTACACTAGGCGAGGAACATTACTCAATACGCTTTACTGAAGAGAAGACAAGGTTTAACTATCACTCACTAAAGGCTACACCTGTTTTGTTGGACAGCTGGACAGAATATAATCTAACAATATGCATTTTAGTCAGCACAGCCTCTACGGCAGACATTCCAAGCTCCATTCTTACTGAACCAGTTTGAGATCCTAAACAGGCCAATTATAGAACGAGAGGAACGGGACAGTGATATCGAACTGTTTCAGATATTTAATGACTTTTGAACGGGGCTATGTAGGACAGATTTAGTGGCTTGAGTTTATGTTTTAAAATGAAAAAAAAGTAGAAAAGGTTTAATTATTTTATTGCCATTAAACTAGACATTAATCTTGTAGGCTAAGGATGGTCAGGATAAGATCGTCCTGAAAGATAAAAACATTTAAATATTATAATTAGCTATTTATTTTGTAAATATGATCAATGGAATAGGTTTGATACAGCACCGTTAACTTTTTCTATAATATGTATTGGAACCTAGTCATTGTACAGGCTACTCCCGTGGTGGAATTACTGTCATAAGCCCCTCCGACGTTAATATGAAGAATTTGCAGAGAAGCAACCATGCGTTGACTTACGAAATTTATTTAATAGATTCTCAACCGATCTGGATACTAATGCAACTCAATGATCCGCTGCGAATATCAACTCTTGCAAATAATGTATTGTCTTTTGGACAGAAAGGAGGTTTCTATCTCTGTCTACACAATACTGAATGAATTTTGGCTGTAAGGTTGGTTTTGATCACGTTTTCTGTATTTTACCGATGTCTAGACTAGAAAATTACATGTACGATACATGAAATCAAGTAAGTGTGTTTGGTTTATTCTTGCCATCATCGCTGCATTGTATGTTTTGTTTGAAAAGCTTTCTCTTTCTTAGATTTGGGGGGTTCTAAAAGAACCGTTTTTCTTAAATTATTGATCACGGTGTTTTCTACTCCATGGTTTCTTCGGAACTGCTGCTATCGTCTTCGCAATCGGTGACAACCGTCGACCTGATCTTGTGGCGAAAGTAAAGAACTTTGTCAGCTTTTTGGCGAGCGTATTCGTAATAAGCGTTTCTCACACCTTCGACAGCAGACATTCTCAAACGGATGTTGTAGCGGAAAGAACGCAGCCCATCTCGTCTTGCTCGATCGTATCTAATTTGAAGATCTTGTAATTTGTTATTCAGCAAAACCACTTGTTCACAGGCTCTTCTGAATCGAAATTCGGTCTCGGACTCGTTCACGTGGAGATTGGAGATGGAATCCATTTCGAGATATGCAAGTAGTACTGTGGATATAGAGTTATCAGATGAAAACTAGCAAGAGCCGAAGAATCCCCTAGCCCGTGTAATGATAAACTATGGTATAGGCTTGAAAAGTTAAATTGAATAAAGCCTATCCAGTCCAAACGGTAAAAACAGAATAACCTAAGGCAAGGCTTAGGGGCAAAACGGTAACGGTTCTGCCAAAATAGTAACAAATATTTTTGTTAAAACGCATTTTAAATTCAAACACATGTTGGGCAAAATTATTTGAATCTATCATTGGGTGCTCTTTCTCGGATATAATCAAATTTGGTTATAATTTCATATCTAAAAAAGCAAAATCAATCAAAAATTCTTTTTGGAAAGATGTGCTGGTACACAATATACAATCAAAACACATACCGTGTAACTACCGTGAAATTAATGCTTCTAATATCTGGTTAAACAGTCATCCTCTACAGACCCAGAACATTTAACTTGGTTTTTTTTCATTGAAATTTTGACTGGGTGGTAATTAGAGGCCAATTAAGACAATCCCAGCTTCGTTTTAGTTTTTTATCATCTGGAACGCCTATATGGGATGTCCACATATGTGGACATTGGGTCTTCGTTAGTACATTTTACCAATTATTGCAGAACAGTTAATGTAAAGATTGAAGTCAAATCTATTCAGTATGGGTACTATAATTCATTTTATGTTGTAACTACACAATTTTTTAACATATTTCATAAAATTAAAAATTCAAATATATATTATCTGTTAACGTATAATAAAAAACATGCAACAACTTTGGCACTTGAATAACAAGTTATTCTCGGTTTGGTTTTGAATGAGGTTAACACTTGTGGGATACTGTCATGTATGAAACATTCGAAAGTAATTGCGATCGCTTTGGACACAGAGAAAAAGGTTACACCTAACACACCGAACACGAGTTTTTCTTGTGCATCCAGGATAAGCTTGTGGCAAGTGTTTAGCATCTGCTTTGCGATAATAATCAATGGGAAGGGCAACCCGTTTCACAACAGGTTCATAATCTGAATCATCGGAAGACGTTTCATCTTCACGCGATGCAGCCAGTAGTTGTTCTGCAAGACAAAGTTTGAATTCCAAAAATTCAAGTTTGTGTTTCCCTAAGAGACTGTTCCTCAGTTTATCATTTCGATATGCTATCCAACAGTTAACCATCACAACATCAATGAAATGAAAAATTGTTCTGATCGTCCACTTACGTGATTTCGCTGCTAATCGATAAAACGAAATCATCCAATCGTGAAGATCTACCCCGCCCATTTTATCATTGTAAGATTTTACGATAGCAGGTCGACTAACCGTGATATACTTTCCATCCTTTTTGGACCAGCGCTGACACGTGTCTTCTGGAATGGCGCCATAAGCATAATACAGGTTTATTGTCAAACCAATTCACAATGCACATTGACTCATTAGACCTGACAGCCTGAATATGAGAGCCCCTAACACCTTTCACCTTATGTGGAATATGGGCGGATTTAGGTATGTATCTCTTCATAGTTGTGCCAGTTCCTGAAATATAAAAAATTACCGGGAACCAATGATTCAGACAATAGCAACACAACAAGACCACCGATTCCTAATTTCGTGACTTTGTCGTTTGCTGAGCCAGGAAGAGCATCTTTTCCCTGGAATATGTCAAAATCAAGGGTATAATTCATTTTGCTTTAACTGATCAGAATCAAAACTTACCTCGACTAGGCTTCTGAGAACATGTGGCTTCGGCCATCTTGTCATGAGTCACATGACCACATGAAGGGGAGGTAACTCCCAATCATTATGTTGCCTGATACAATAAATCATATGAAATGATGTTTAAGAGGTAAATTAACGAATAAAATGATTCTCCGAGGAAAGATTACGCAATATTTGAAAAACTATGAATGTCCACATATGTTACATCAAATTTCCCTGAACATGCAACAATTATTAAGGCAATATCAAATTTCGAATAAAAATGTTCAGCGGCATCAACTTTCCAAAACTACTCAGTTTCAAATGACATTAACTCCTCCCCACTACATCCATTCAAACTACTACCCTTTTCTTCCTATCAAGAAACATAACACCAGCTTCACAATTAAAATACACATCAATAGCATACTGGAAAACCATTTAGACCATAACTCATTTGACCTTACACGTGGTATAACCAACCAAAATGTTGATTAGACCACGGGGACAGGACTACTTTTTAACATTTTATTTACTCACAAACATAACAATAATTTTTATTACATATTAAAATTAAGAGTAATGTTAACATTTCTTCGGGTTCTTCATATTCTACTAATTGGCGTTTAGATGTAGATGGCATATTTGTTCGATACTTATAATATCATAATAAGATTGAGGCAAAGTTTAATATCATTCATAATGATTATTTCTACAGTTTACATCAGACTAAGAAACGGAAGTGTGCTTATTATCAAGGGAGATAACTCGTCCTTGGAATAAAGGGAATCAGACCACCAATCATACTGTCTATGTATTTGAGTCTATTGAATATCCAACACCTCCCCTAGAGATTTTTTTAAAAAATAACGGAGTTCTTGTAAAAAGTTCTTTTCGCTTAAGGAAATTTCACAAATTTAATCTCTTCGGTGGGCGACGTTGACGTAAACTTCTCCAATTTCGGGCTGTCTGTGGCGAAACTGGTGTTCTTGTAACATTTGGTGAATGTGATATCGTTCTATCTGGAAAGTGATTCCTTGATACAGATTTTGGTATAGGGACTAGTGGGTAACGACGTCTAAGAAACTTTCTATTTCGTCGTAATACACGAACACCATCAGTTGCAATGAAATAGTCTCTATGATTACCAATATTAATAATTGATCGATTAATCGTCCAACGCTTCGTTCTGTCATTTTGAACGACTACTTTGTTTCCAACAGATAATGATGAAAGTGGTTGTGCAGTTTTATTGTAGCGTTTTTCCACTTCATTACTGTGTATGGAAGATTTCTCATCAGCATCAGCCATTATCTTTTGCCACTCTGGAGCGAAAGATCGTCGGTGAGCAGGCATATTATCTCGAAGAGGATGGCCAAATACTTTAACAGCGGGTGACGTACCATCTGCTTTTGGCGTATTCTTGAATTGAAGTAGAGCTGTAATCCATTTGTTCATGTTGATATTTCTACCTGTCCAACATCGTCTTATCAGCTTTTTCATAGATTTAACAGTAGCTTCAGCCTTTCCATTTGATTGTGGCAAATGGGGTGAAGATACTTTATGTTGAATTCCCCATAGTTTAAAAAAAGTCTTTCATGGTTTTCGAGGTAAATTGGGGACCTCCATCTGTCCAAAGTACTTCTGGTATAGATGATTCCATGAAACTATCTTGGAAACTCTTAATGATTTGATTCCCAAGACGATGGACTAATGGCCATCCTGATAGAACATCTGACAATACGAGCCATTGTTCACCTCCAAAGGAACCCAAATCAGCACAAATATGTTGAAACACTCTGTCTGGTTCTTGGTTTCGTCTCGCCATTGGTTCTTTAGATTGCGATGGTAATTCTTCAGTGCAAGCTTTACAGGAACGAACGACATTCTCGATATCGTTAATACCGGGCCAATAGACGATTAGTCTTGCTCTAGCTTTGGTTCTTGTGATGCCTTGATGTGAAGCATGTAAATCATTGACAATTTTCTGACGAAGAGATTTTGGTATGAGGAGTCGAGGTACAACTACTAAGAGGTTGTCATCGATTGATATTTGATCTCTAACGTTCCAGTAATGTTCCAAATCCTGTGAAAGTTGATTTCTTGACTGTGGAAAACCATTTCTTACCACTTCGACGGTATTTTGATGTTCTTTATCGACAATACTGGATTGACGAATATCTGAAAGGCGAGGATCCATGTCTGCATCTTTTACAGCTTGACGTATTAAATCCAGATGAAGCGTGTCGATCTCTTCCTCGATAAAATCTTGATCATATGCATTAGGCGTTACGACTGGAGCCCTTGATAATGCATCAGGTGCAGCATGATCTTTCCTTTTCTTCCATACCGCTTTAAACTTGTGGGGTAGTAGTTTCATTCTTAATCTTTGTAGGCGAGGATTTTCTATTTCATCCAGGCGATGATTATTCATGATTGGAATTAGAGGCTTGTGGTCAGTAACAATTTCAAATTGATCGAGTCCAGCAAGAAAAGGGTTACATTTCTTAACTGACCAAGCCACGGCTAGTAGTTCGATCTCTATCATAGCATATCTAGCTTCTGTCTCTGTTAGGTACCTGGAACCTGCTTGGACCAATTTCCATTCATTATTATGAAGCTGGAGTAGGACAAATCCAAGTCCATTAAGACGACTAGCATCGGTCTCATGTGATGTGGGCTTTGATGGATCAAAGTATGCTAATGTTGGAGTACTGGACAACATTTTCTTTGCTTCTTCGAATGATTTTTGGTGGATTTCATTCCACTGAAATTCGTTCTTTGGACGAAGGAGTGGTCGAAAGTTCTCTGTAGCGGCAGCTATCTTTGACGTGAATGATCCTAGTTGATTAACTAGGCCAATAAACGACCTTACATCAGTGATGTTAGTAGGGACTGGGTAATCTGTTATAGCTTGGATGATTTTAGGATCAGGACTGTAACCATCAGCTAATAATATAAATCCAGCAAATTCCACTTGTTGTTGTGCAAATTTGAATTTTTCCTTCTTTAAGGTAATACCACGTTCTTGACATCTCTGTAGGAATTGTCGAACATGTTGTAAATGGCTATCAAGGTCACTATCGTAAATTGTGACATTATCTACGATTCTTCGATATCCTTGAAGGCCAATAAATGCTTCGTCCATTCTTCTATTGTAGTGCTCAGAAATAGAACAAATACCGAAAGGTGCACGAACATATTTGTATCGCCCAAACGGTGTGATAAAGGTTGTGTAATCTTGACTCTCGTCAAGAGGGCATTGGTGATAACCTTTAAGTGCGTCCATAGTTGTAAACCATTTTGATTTTGTTGCAGCTATGTCGGCTACAGCTTCAGCAGGTGTTGGTATCGCTCTCGTTTAACGTATTTGTTGAGATGCGACAGATCTACACACAGGCGTATATCGTCTGAGCCTTTTTTAGGTGTAACTACTAAAGGTGCACCCCAAGCTGTTGGATAGGTAACTGATTCGATGATTTTCTGATCAACAAGGTCATCAAGTTCCTTCTTCAACTTATCTCTGTACGCATAGGCTACTCTTCTTGGTGTTGCTACACAAAATGGGACAGCGTTGACAGTGAGTTGAATTGTAAATTCTTCTCCAGGCATTGGCTTCATTTCATCACTGAAAACAGCTGAAAATTCTTTGATGATGTCCTCTGATTTTAATTGTGTACTACTATTATCAACTTTGGCAGAATGATGAATTTTCTTCACTTCTGAAGTTTCGGGTGATATTTGTCTTGGATAATTTTTGGGTATTATGTCCAAAGCTTTTGTAGTTTTCCATGACAAGATGCATCCTTGAACTCCTTTTAAGACATGAAATCTTTCTTCTATAGTTCGGGTACCCAAATTCACCGTTGCATAGAATATTCCAAGATTCCCTATGTCATGGTTATCTGATGATTTAAAAACTGGTTGATCTGTATCTTTGAAAAGATCATGAGATTTGATCCTGAATTTATTCATCAAATCTTTACCAATTGCTGATATTTCTGATCCAATATCAGGCATCGCTAAAATTTTTAATTCTGCTTTTTGTAGATGATTTGGTTTCATCATAATTTGCACTCTTGGTGACCTTTCTATTCTAGCTATCCTGACTGTTATTGTAGATAATCTAGGTTTAGGTCCAATTCTCTGTTTAGATGATCTCTGAGATCGGGGCTTGGAACTGCAGAGACGCGCGGTGCTGTGTCTATCTTAAAACGTCAATTCTCGTCGTCAACGTTGTGTAGACAGAGATAGAAACCTCCTTTCTGTCCAAAAGACAATACATTTCTTACAAGAGTTGATATTCCCAGCGGATCTTTAAGTTGCATTAGTATCCAGATCGGTTGAGAATCTATTAAATAAATTTCGCAAGTCAACGCATGCTTGCTTCTCAGCAAATTCTTCATATTAATGTTGTAGTGGCTTATGACAGCAATACCACCACGGGAGTAGCCTGTGAAAAAAAAACAGACAGTAAAATACTGCTTTCTTAGATATCATGTTTCAGCCAGAAATGAAGTTGGTCAGTTTCGCTGTTTTCAAAGCTAATCCCCGGGTACCCTTTCTTGTGTTAACCACTATCAATCAATGAATCGAGAATAGCGGAGGAAAAGTGATTCGGGGATCCCATTTTCCATTCGAAACAGGCTCAAGCGCAGACTGACTTGAAAATGGACTCGGATGGAAATCATTTATTTTCTGGCTTCCCTTTTAAATTGAAACATCTACTTTAGGCCCATGCTTTAGCTTCAACAAAAAATGATAGATAAGCATACTAGAATGATCAACACAAAAGTCGTAAAATACCAATTAACGGTTAATTGAAAGACAATAGCCGCTATCCATCCTTATAATCACAATTCACTTGGCTCGTGACATTTACGGCAGGACTGGTATATGTCATTGGGAGACATTGCTGTCAGTCTTAGAGCTAAGGAAATATATATAAACCCCAAGTTGTAGGGCACAATGCATCACTTGCGAGTTTTCATCTGATAGCTATATCCACAGTCCTACTTGCTTATCTCGAAATGGACTCCATTTCCAATCTCCACGTGAACTTGTCGGAGACCGAATTTCGATTCAGAAGAGCCTGTGAACAAGTGGTTTTGCTGAACAACAAATTACAATCTTCAAATTAGATACGATCGAGCAAGACGAGATGAGCTGCGTTCTTTCCGCTACAACATCCGTTTGAGAATGTCTGCTGTCGAAGGTGTGAGAAACGCTTATTACGAATACGCTCGCCAAAAAGCTGACAAAGTTCTTTACCTTCGCCACAAGATCAGGTCGACGGTTGTCACCGATTGCGAAGACGATAGCAGCAGTTCCGAGGAGTCCATGGAGTAGAAAACACCTTGATCAATAATATAAGTAAAACGGTTCTTTTCAGAACCCCCTAAATCTAAGAAAGAGAAAGCTTTTCAAACAAAACATACAATGCAGCGATGACGGCAAGAATAAACCAAACACACTTACTTGATTTCATGTATCGTACATGTAATTTCTAGTCTAGACATCGGTAAAATACAGAAAACGTGATCAAAACCAACTTTACAGCCAAAATTCATCTCTATAAATTCCATTGTCAAAACGTCACTCAACTGTGGCATTATGATGTCATAAAAGCTGATATAGTAACCCCCTAGTTTTCACTCACAAACACACTTCCTGTCCTATTTCCATGTCCAATTCTCTTTTTAGATGATCCTGAGATCTGGTCTTGTGTGTGGAATGGCGATCGAACATTAAAGTGAATCGATTATCGAACGCACTGCTCGTGCAATCGTTTCTAAAAAAAAGTCCAATAATCGAACACAGCCTTCCCATACCCCTTCTGAGATCAGTTCACATCGAGATCGAGACACACCCAGTCATGTCTGTCTGAATAAACATCGTATTTGAACAACTCGAATGGGCCTCTGATTTCCATCGACATGGTCTCCAAAATGTTCGACAGTGTAGGATTGATGGACACATCACTTTCTGTTGCACGGAGGGCGACCAGATTTAGCATCTCCAGTTACATTCGATTCTAATGCTCATACATCGTATAAGTCTCAATCTTGTCCCACTGAAGAATCTACTAAGCATACGCACACTCAAGTTAGGAAAGACACTGTCGTATTCATGAGAGTAATTCCAATCGTTCTAAGAAGTACCAATCGATCGATACGTTGCAATGCATTGATGGATGACTGTTCAACAGACAGTTTCCTTAACGAAGGTATAGCACAAGAATTGGGCTTACGTGGTTTTGTTTCAGACTTAAATGTAAACGTTTTGGGTGGAAAATCAAAATCGTTGAACTCAGAATATGTATCCGCAGAGCTTTGCAGCCTTGTCTTCAAAACTTTTGTCCCATTCGGTGCCTTTACCGTTAAAAATGTTACAGGTGACTTACGTACAGTTGATTGGAATAAACAGTCGCGGTTTTGGCCACATTTACAAGGGCTGTCCTTCCCACAAATTGAGAGCACTCGTGTCGATGTTCTGGTAGGTCTTAATGTCCCTGGTGTGCACAGGGCCATCACGGAAATAGCAGGTCTTCCTAATGAACCAGTAGCTCGTCTAACGCCATTAGGATGGACATGTATTGGTCCTGCTTGTCCTTTCCAGCACCGTACAAACCCAGTTTCCCACTTTACTTATTATATCAAAGCAGAATCAGATACAGACACCTTGCTTAGAAATTATTGGGAAATTGAAAACGTAGGTACTAGGACCGAATCAAAAGTATTGCCGATGTCCGAGGAAAAGGCAGTCCAGTCCACAAGGAAACCTTGCATTTCGATGAAACCTTGAATCGTTATATTGTTGGCATACCATGGAAATCGAACTTTCATGAACTGAATTCAAATTATCTAAGTGCTCTAAACCGATTGTATAAACTTGAACGATCTTTGGCTAAACGACCACAAGTCGCTGAACAATATTGTGATATCATTAATGATCAAATACGTAAAGGGTATGTTTCAGAGGTTAAGTCCCACAGTGAACCGTCGTGGTACCTTCCACATTTCGTAGTCGTTAGGAATGATAAAACTACTACGAAAGTTTGTATCGTAATGGATGCTGCCGCACCTACTAACAATATCTCTTTAAATGATTGTATTAACTCTGGCCCGAAACTTCAATGTGAACTTTTTAATATTCTTCTCCGTTTTCGTAGCAAACCAGCAGCAGTCGCTTCAGACATATGCGAGATGTTCTTAAGAATTGGGTTACGCGAAGATGATAGACGGTATCAGAGATTCTTATGGCGAGATTTGGATTCCTTTAAACCGGTAAAAATCTATGAATATAATAGACTAGTCTTTGGCAACACAGCTTCCCCCTACTTGTCTCAAGCGGTCCTTCGAGAACATTGCAATCGAAATAGCCAATTATATCCAAACGCATCTAATTCCATTCTGAACTCTATGTATGTAGACGATCTTTTGGACAGTTCCATATCCGAAGCTATTCAATTACGTCATAAGGTTTCCAAATTATTAGATATCGTTTCCAAATTCGTAAGTGGTTGTCTAATAAGTCAGAAGTTTTGCAGGACATTCCGGTGTCAGATCGTGTTAATTGCCTGCCACTCGATGATAACAATCTTCCTTCAGTAAAAACTCTTGGTGTTTTGTGGAAAACCGAAACGGACACTTTTACATTTGAAATTTCAGACCCCCAAGAAACAGTTCTTACCAAGCGGGTAGTCGTAAGTAGAACAGCCACTCTTTTTGATCCACTTAACTTAGTTGCACCGTTCACTATTCGTGCAAAACTAGGTATACAAAAGACTTGGGTACGTGGATTAGACTGGGATGAGAAATTGCCCGAAGATCTGGCCTTGAATTGGACAAATTGGTATAAAGAGCTTCCCTTATTAGATAAAGTCGAAGTTTCAAGGTGTCTCGTAACAGAGGGATCGCGCATTCTGAACAAAACTTTACATGTATTTGTTGACGCCTCTGAGAGGGCTTACGCGACATGTTGTTACCTTAGAAGCGAGTACGAAGACGGCACCTTTACATCTAATCTTATAGTTGCAAAAACCAGGGTAGCACCTTTAAAAGCAATTTCTATTCCAAAATTGGAATTATGTGGCGCAATTCTAGGTGTTCATTTAATTTCAAGAGTTTGTTCTGTATTAAACATTTCAGTGAAGTTTGTAACCTTTTGGTGCGATTCACAAAATGTATTATATTGGATAAAAGGTGAGTCCAGAAATTATAAACCATTCGTTGCGCATCGTATAGGTGAGATTCACGAACTTACTGAGCCAAGTCAATGGCGTTTTGTACCAACTGATCTAAATAGTACTGATTTAACTACACGTGGCATGACAGTTACAGAAATGGCTGAAAGTAACGCTTGGTGGTTTGGTCCATCTTTCCTTTTGCAAGATCAATCGCACTGGCCGGTAATTGTTATACCTACTTACGTGGATACAGCCTTAGCAGAGGTTCGGTCCAAAGCTTCAGATACATTTTTTGCACTTCCTCGTATACAAGATTTAGGAAGGCTAGCACCTTCACGGTTTTCCAAATGGTCTAAATTGATCAGAGTAACGTCGTGGATTTTTCGGTTTGTGAACAATTTAAAGAAACCTGATTCAAGAGATTTATCAAACATTTTAAGTCTTGAAGAACTTAATCGATCTAAAACATTTTGGTATAAATTTGCTCAAGTATCTGCTTTTCGGGATGAGAGTAATGTAATTCGTAAGGGAAGTCCTTTAGGTAATAATTCAAAACTGTTATCAGTTCACCCATGCTTAGATGATAATGGAGTGCTTCGAGTTGACGGAAGGCTTGGTAAGTCTGACAATTTATCGTATGATGCTAAATTTCCAATTATATTGCCTGAGAACAGTGATGTATCCCGTTTAATCGTGTTGGATTGTCACGAATGTGAAAATCATGATATCGGTGTCTCTCACATTTTGTCACTTTTACGGACTAAGTTTTGGATTATACGTGCACGTTGTCTTGTAAAATCTGTAAAGTCTGCTTGCAATGAGTGTTCTAGGCGTCGTAAAAAACCTGCTGAGCAAATCATGGCACCGCTTCCAGAGTATAGAGTTGCAACTCCGTTACTTGCATTTGCCAAGATAGGTGTTGACTATGCTGGACCTTTCTTTACAAAACAAGGTAGGGGTAAAACAAGAACAAAAAGGTATTTGTGTTTATTTACTTGCTTATCGAGTCGTGCTTGTCATTTGGAAATGGCATGGAGTATGGACACAGAGTCCTTCTTATGTGCCTTTAGTCGATTTACAAACCGTCGTGGTAAACCCCTAACTGTTGTCTGACAATGGGTCAAATTTCGTAAGTGCTGAGCAGGAATTGGGCGATTTGATAAGGGCCTTAGATCGAAATCAAATTGGTAATTCATTGGCAAACAAAGGGATAGAATGGAAGTTTAATCACCCACTTTCCCCGCATTTTGGTGGGGTATTCGAAGCTATGATAAAGTCTGCGAAACGGGCTATCACAGCAATAACCAGTGATGCCGATGTGAGTGATGAAGAGCTAATTACCGCTTTTACAAAAGCTGAAGATCTGATTAATTCCAGGCCATTGTGTTACGTCGGCGATGATTCGTTGGATGATCCAGTGTTAACCCGAAATCATTTCCTACACGGGCAAGTTAGTGGTCAACTGGCTCCTGAGTCAGTCGACAATTGTCGTTATAATCCTCGAAAAAGATGGCGCCGAGTGCAGGAATTGCTGAAGCATTTTTGGCAACGTTGGATGCGCGAATTACTACCCATGCTTAATTTCAGGAAGAAATGGAATCGAGTACAAAAGGATTTTCAGGAAGGTGATATTGTATTTATAGTGGATCCGCATTCGCCGCGTGGAAAATGGCCTTTAGGTCGTATTATGAAAGTATATAAAGGAGTTGATAATCACCTTCGTGTGGTGGATGTGAAAATCGGTGAAAAGATCTATAAAAGATCTATTAGTCATTTGTGTCCCTTAAATATGTGAAAGCTCCAGAGTGTAGTTTTGTGGAGTAAAATTTATCGGGAAGTGAATGTGTTCTCAGTTATATCGTTATCGGGTGTGAATTAATCGATCTGTGAGTATTGCATCGAAAGTAGGACTTATAAGCAATGGCTGAAACATTTTTTGTGTGAATATTTGTTCACGTATTGTATGATTTTGATATTTGTATGTTTTTGTGGTGTTGTTTCTTATTTTGACGTTGGTCACATCAAGGAGGGGGATATGTGTGGGATGGTGATCGAACATTAAAGTGAATCGATTATCGAACGCACTGCACGTGCAATCGTTTCTAAAAATAGTCCAATAATCGAACACAGCCTTCCCATACCCCTTCTGAGATCAGTTCACATCGAGATCGAGACACACCCAGTCATGTCTTGTCTGAATAAACATCGTATTTGAACAACTCGAATGGGCCTCTGATTTCCATCGACATGGTCCCCAACAGCTTGGAACTACAGAGGCGCGTTGTGTCTATCTTAAAACGTCAATTCTTGGCGTCAGTATTGTGTAGACAGAGAGAGAAACCTCCTTTCTGCCCAAAAGACAATACATTATTTACAAGAGTTGATATTCGCAGCGGATCATTGAGTTGCATTAGTATCCAGATCGGTTGAAAACCTATTACATAAATTTCGCAAGTGAACGCATGGTTGCTTCTCTGCAAATTCTTCAGAGAGGAGAGGCTTATGACAGTAATTCCACCACGGGAGTAGCCCTTGTTCCCTATGATAGATAAGCATACTACAATGATCAACATGTAAAATACCAATTAACGGTTAATTGAAAGACAATGGCCGCTATCCATCCTTATAATCACAATTCACTTGGCTTGTGACATTTACGGCAGGACTGGTATATTTGAAAATGGCGGAGTAAAAGTAAAGTTTATCTTGCTCTCCGATTTTTTAAAGTTTTTACTACTAAATATATTGTAATACTTCGACCAAAAGTGTGTGGAAACATTTATAACCATCAAGCTATCAAGTGTGTGTTTTTCCTTCGACATCCATAAAATTATAGCTGATATCTTTGGAAAAGAAAACTTGTATTTTTCCTCAAGCAATAGTCTGTAGACAATTAATTTCCAAGATGCCTCTACCGACAAGATCATCATCAGGAAATAAGACCAACCCTTCAAATGCAGAAACTGATGAAGAAAATATAAATATGGGGAAAATACTCTCAGAACTGAATGATATAAAATCAAATCTGAAAGAATCCATCAACAAGAAATAAATAGTTAACATAGTAAACACCATTGTGAGTAAACTTTTGTGTTATGTTCTAAATTAGCTTTCAAACTTTAACTGTCATAAATATTTGGTATGACTGGATGTAAGAGTGAATGTAACCTAATTCAGTATAGTTAAAACTTATTAATCGGGACTGTGACCTGATTGAGCATTATGGGATGGGAAAAGCGTGCATAGTGAAGTGAAAATGGCGTGGATGTTGCCGTCTCTGACTTGGCGGTCAGCATATCGGTTTTTACCATATTTGTCATAAACATGTTATTGTATCATTGTGAATCGTGTAATATTGTTACTGTGAACCTTAGTGATCATGTGAGCTTTGTACTTATATAGTGTCAATTGTTATTTTGTGAGCCTTTCCATGTTAAACTGGATTCGTGAATATATAGTGAACGGGAATAATTGAGTGTGAAATTGGATTCTCATAAACCATAAGTATTTTCACTGACATTTCTTTATTTCATCATATTTAATGTACTATTCTTATCTGAACAATATACCATTCATTTTCATAGAACATTCTTAATTATTTGGGTAAAAATGGATAATTTGCAAGACTCCCATCAAAGTTGTCTCCAATGGCGCCAATGTATGACCTTTGAACTTGAACATTCTCATGAAGTATGATACAATAGTTGAATATGAGGTGCGTAACAAACGGTGTGCAGTCTCAAAAACCGCCAGTGCAGAGCAGTAAACGCTGCAACCAACATTTTGGATTCCTTCAAACTAGATGTTCTGGAGCAAACTAGTAGCAAAACAGACCAACTTCAAGAGGATGTAAACTCAGTAGCTGTGGAAAATGAACTACCGAGAGAAAAGGTTAGATTGTTGGAAAAGTCTGTGACAGATTTAAAAAACCAACTATCAGTTAGGGATACCAGATCAAAGGATGCACTGAAAACATCAAACTATAATGAACAATAATCCAGGAAACACAATATAAGGGTGTTGAATTTGAAAGAAACAAGAGAAGAAGATCTCAGAAATGAAATAGTAAAGATTGTTGATCAAGACTTAAATGTTAAATTGGCAAAAAATGACATTGTAGCTGCACACAGGATTCCTGGAAAACGTGGCCAGGAAAGACTCATAATAATAAAATTGGCAAATTCTGACAATAAATATAATCTTATGAAAAACAAGAGGAAACTGTGTGGTGATGTTAAATTCTTTGATGACATTACAAAAAGAAATTTGAATTTGATAAACAAACTAAAGAATAGTGACAAATTTGAAAGTGTATGGTACTTTAATTGTGCAGTGTATGCTAAATCTTCTCAAGACAGTGAAAAACTGAAATTTGATCTTTTTGATTTAGTATAACATGTTATTCAACCAGTTCCCATCTCCTTTACATAGTTTACACATTTAGATTAAAAAACAACAATCCTTTACACTTATCTATAATATTGATATCCATTCAATCTCATATATATATGTCATAATTTTGTGGTGTTATCCATATTATGTATTAATTAGCTCCAGATCAAATGGATCTTTTTGTTTTGGGCTGTTTCTTCTTTATCCCTGTCAGACCACAACTGTTTTTTATACTGTCTCCCTTTACCACCAATGTTTTGAAACCCATTTATACACAAATTATGTCATGTGAAATTTAAAACTTGATAATGCAAGGAATTTGGCAAATAATGTTTAATGCACTCAAGAACATGGAAAACTAAAATTGTATCTTCTTATATTACATGATGAAAAGTAATTGCCTCCCTCCACTTAAAGTGATTTAATCTATATTGTCTTGTGGCAAAATATTGCCATCTCAACTTATGGAGACATTGCTACCCTTTAAAATGGTATCTAGGAGCTCATGAATATGCAGCAATTTTGGTATATCCTATTCAATGTAAATAATAACTACAAAAGTCAGGTATTATTTTGATTATTTTAATTATCACTCCTGTCACATAACAATTAATTCTTATATTATTCTCCTATACCAATAATATTTTTTAGATCAACCAGTTTTTTGCCATTTGAAATTTAGAACTTGAAAATGTATGATAAGTAGGAAGTATTTCCCATGAGAGTTAAAATTTGATCCATTGATGTTATATATTGTACGTAATATATACCGTATATACCGTCACTCCCCCCACCCCCTTTCATGGTCTCAACTTACCATAGCACTAGATGTTATTTTTGCATTGTTCATAACTATTCTATTTATAGACAAAACAACAGGAAAGTAAACTCTTAAAATTCTTTCTTTTAAACTATTCAAATTCATCAACTGTCAACCGAATTTCAGTTTTTTTTGGTACCAAAAATTAGATCTTGCTTCGAAGATGGAGATGTACAAACCGTGTGAAACCAGTAACGGTTGGTCAAAGGGGTAGCCTAAATTTATTTCTTTCATTTCACATGCTACTAGTGTAAGAAAGTCATTATATGCACTTTGTATATCACCTTCTAAATTCATTTTACGTTCTATAGAAGTTATTGTTTCTTTAACTACTTCCAAAATTTCAGAATTTGTTAAAAAGTCATTAGGAATTGTTGTTAAGTCAAACTTGCTTACAGTTTCTGATTTGTTTTGTGGCTGTACACTTGTCACGTCACTACCTGTTTCTGTTTCCCAGATTAAAATAGAATGGTCTGGAGAAGAATCTGGGTATCACCCAATAGTACTTTTTAGCTCAGACATGCTAAGGACGGTAAAGGATTTGATGGTATCTATGTTTTCGTTGGGTACACACACATAATCAACAACAGATTTACCGAGCGTGGAGATACAGGTAAAGTCTTGTGTTCCCACCCGTCCATTTAGCATTCCAAAACTAGACACAGTTAAAAAATCTATAAAAAGCTCACCAAATTTGTTGTTTGTCATCAATGGTATCACGCGGGACTAAATAGTCAACTCCATCAATTGTGTCAGAAATGTCACCACATCTTGAGTTAAAATCACCAAATAGTTGAATATCTCCAATATTTTGAAAGCTGTAAATCTGATTTTCAAAGAAGGTATTCGGATCTGTGCGCCGTGTTGTACCATCTGGTGGGAGGTAGCATATAGCGAGACACATTGATAAGTTTGAGTTAATTCCTGTCACGTGTATCCACAAGATGTCTTCAAAACTACTATCTAAAATATTCACTTTTAAGATACTACCTATGAGTTCTTTTTTAACAAGGAAACCAACCCCTCCACTACCCCTTTTTGCTTTTTTGTTTACTGTTTTGCGGTTATGGCCGTACCATTTGTAGCCGCTTACATCTAAAATGTTATCTCCGACTAAAAATGTTTCACAAAGTCCTAGAATGTCACAATCTGTGTAATTAATCACATTTCTCCGGAAGTCGTCATGTGTGCTTTTATTTGTTGGAAATCCTCGACTGTTCCAGGTCCCCAAACGGAAACACCTTCATGCAATTTTATTAAAAATTCTACCATTTTTAAAAACAAACTTTTTATCTGTTCCAAGATGCTTAATAACTGTTCTTAAATTGTGCTCTTCTTTCAGTTCCTCTGGTGATTTCATACTTTCGATGTAAACACGACTATACTTGGGTGAATGTTTCAGTGATCTCTTTTTACTTAACAGTTTATGTTTTTGATCGGAGTTATCAAGAGTTACTACCTCTAACCTTGGCCTTGTTCTTGATGAAGTCACATGATTGTTTATATTTAGTTTCGGTTGAATTCGTTCGACATTGTTCACCTTAATGTCTAATTTAAGTCCGTCTGTAACAAGGTCCTGAACACTTTTCAGTAAATACCCTGGTTGTGTTTCTTGAGCACTTTCGTCAAAGTTTTTCACGATTACTTTTAACTGTCTATTATTGTGTGTTGGGTTTGAGAGATCTGATGCCTGCTCACTAATTATCTTAAATTTATTGTCTATCTCGAATTTTGCCTATTTCTTCATGCATTTCTATATTAAGTCTCTTATCTAGTATGTTTGTTACCTTTTCTTCTATCTTCTTTTCTAGATTGTCCATATGACTGGCTATTTGAGTATTAATCTGCTCACCTAAGCAAGACATCATTTTCAACATTTCATCGAATCTATCATTAAAGTTATCTTTTGGCTCACCTTTCGATTTCTTACATGTAGGTTCTTCACATTCCAATACCTCTGCACTATTTTCTGCGGGTCTTTTCCAACTATGGAGTCTTTCTCTGCCTTTTGATTTCGTTGTTCCTTTAATTTGGGTCGATGTAGGGAACATATTTCCGACAGCCATTACCTCCGTTACGAAGTTTTCTGACATGCTACTATCCATTGGGTTCACAATATTATCCATTATTGGCGAATATAAATAAAACAATTGTGTATAGTCTTTTGATAAAACCTAAATGAT